ATAGATAATAAAAGTTGTAAAGTTGTTCTAAGTTTAAAAGGAATAATGTTGAGCTAAGAAGATGGTTTTATATCAAGTTCAAAATTGTTTAAAAAGTAAGCAAGAGCTAGTATATTAAGAGAAGTAATACTGAAGACAAGATAAATCTGAATGTTATGCTTAAAGTATTTCCATTATAAGATAAGATTTCATTAGATATACTTGTTGATGACTTTGAATATTCTTATTATAAAGTTTAGCAGTAATATAAACTATAAAAGAAAAAGAGTTTAATTAATTTAATATATATTTAGAACTCTGCTAGAATAACTAATATTTGTTTAGGTCTCTTGCTAAAATAACTAATACTTGTCTGAGTCTCTTGTCAGAATAACTAATACTTGTCTAGATCTTTTGCCAAAATAATTTTCTAATATGTCTGAAAATGTCTTATTTAGGATAACTTGTTTTTCTCTAAATTTGACTTTTATACCAAAAGGTATTAAATATTATAAGTAAAAACTTTCTTGATTTTTATATTATAATAATAACATAGTATAAAGAATTTTTTATAAGTATATATAATGTTTAAAAGAAAAATATAATTTCTGTTAAATATTGTTAAAAAACTATACTCTTCTCTAAGTCACTTTAGAAAAGATAATGCAATACTAATAACTTTAATTTATTTACTAAAAGAAAAATAAACTTTGTTTATAAAAATTACTTTAGAGAAGAAATATTAATACAGTTTATAATCAAAAGCTGTTTATTAAAGTAATTATAAAAAAACTATTCTTAGGTTTTTGTTATTAAAGAATTTTAAAATATGTTTACAATATTAAAAAGAAGAAAAATATTTGTTGCTTAATTGAACTTGAAGAATTTAGTAGGGTTTATATATCTATAAGCTAGATAGCTAAACAACTATATAACTAAGTAACTAAGTAACTAAGTATTAAGCAACTAAGTAATTAAGTAACTAAATGACTAAGTAATTACTAAGTAACTATATAATAACTATTAAATAACTAATTACTAAGCAACTAAATAACTAAGCAACTAAGCAACTAAATAACTAAACAACTAAGCAACTAAGTAATTACTAAGTAACTAAAAAGTTCTAGTAATTACTAATAATAATAATATAATAATAAGAATAACTAATACTAAATAATAATAAAATAATAATAATAAATAATAATAATAATAAAATAATAATTATTTATTTTATAACAGTATTAAAATTGTTAATTCAAAAAAACTAGATATAAATCTCAAGAACTAACAAAATTATTTTATTTAAAAGGTCTTTAAACAAGTATTTTATATCTTTATACATATATACAAATTTTATTTTAACTGTTTTTGTAACTTTTTGTTATATACTACATAAAAGTTTTAACAATAAATTTATATATATATTATAGTTTTAGTTTTTTAGAAAGTTTTTTTTTAGCTTCAAATATACAGTATAAGAGCATATTTTAAGAAAAAATAATTAATATTGGCAAAATACTAACTTATAATTATTTAGTAAAATATATAAAGAACCTATTATTAAAAAAAATAATTAATATTAGCAAAGTACTAACTTATAATTATTTAATAAATATATAAAGAACCTATTATTAAAAAAAATAATTAAATTTTATAAGTAATTTTAGATAAACTATTATAAACAAGATACTGTAATAGTGCTATTCTCAAAAAAATTTAATCAAGCTAATTAGTAATAATCAGAATTACATTGATATTTTTGATATATCTATTAATTGATAGAATAGAAATAATAATATTAATAGCATTAATATAAGTTTCTACTAAATAAAGTTTATCTTTTAAAGAATCTACAAATACAATATCTTTAATTGATCTTTAATTTCTTTTTTCTTTTAAATAAATATCATAACTATAGACTATTAACTCTTTAAGCTTTGTTTTATTATTCACAAAACAAAATCCCCAATATCAATTATAAAAAAATGAATAAGTCAATATAAAATTATTTTCAATTTTAGGTTTAATTAATTATACTTTAACTAATACAAGGTTATAAATTTTTTATTCTAGAATAGATAGTCTATCCTTGATTAGATTAAATAAAATAGTAATAAAATATTATAAACTTGATGTTTCAATTATAATAGGTATTCTTTTAATATAAATGCTATAATAATCATTAATATTTAAAATTAATACATTATTAGTATTTACTGCAATATTTAATTCTACAGTTTTTAAATATTTTTTAGACATAATATCTTTGTAAAAGATAATTGAGTAAAATATTAATATTATATCTAATGCTACTAATATATTTATCATAAAGTTAAATATTCTAGTAAAATCCAAATATATTCTTAAATCTCTATATTATTAACAAATTGATTCTTAATATCACAAATAAAATAATAAAAATACTAATTTTTTTGGATATTTTTTCTATTGTATTTTTATTTTTTTTTAATGAGTTGATTAATAAATATAATTCATTCAAAAAAAAACTTTAGTTGATAAGAGATGAGGTTCTGTAACCTAGTAGTCTAGACACCTTTCCTTTATAGACAAGATCAATAGTTCAATTCCAACTAGAGGCAAAACTCTATAATCTACAGAAACATATGAATGTATATAAAACTCTGTGACTAAGTTTATGTAAATAGAAGATTAATGTATAAAAAAGTTTCTGAAAAGAAGTTTCTTAATATGAAGAGTTAATACTCAATACAAGAAAAGTGATGAACATACCAGAAATAGAGAGAAGACATACTAGTAGATAATATAATGAACATAAAAGAAAACTATGAAAAGGAATAGACTTACTGAAATTTGAACACTTCTGATATTAAAACTGATTTAATAGATACAGATTACACTAAGTCAGATCTAAGTAGTAATTTTGATATTAACTTAATAAGCTTGCATCGAGGATGAATCAAGAACTATGAATACTTGGTAACATTTAATAGGATGGTATCTTGATATAAATAATAACCAAATAACCCTAACTTGATATATCAATATAATGGTAATGTAGATGTTGTATATATATGCAATAGTGTTGAAAATCAAAGATTTTAAATAAGAAACCTACAGATAGGTTTCAGATATGGTAATTAGTAGGTAATCTGCAGACAGAACCTTTAAATAGATAATAACTAAAGTTGTATATGTGACTAATTGTAACCTTGTTGATAGACTTTGTATATAAAAAATGATGTAATCATATGTTACTTAATAAAAAAACATACAAACAAGATTGCCACTTTAAAAAGAAAAAAAAAAAAAACTTTAGTTGATCATCTTCTGATTCCATTAAAGCATAAATTCTTTAAACCTTCAAATTAAAAATAACCTTTATGTTGTTTTTCATTAAACACATCTATAATTTTCTCTATAGCTTGTGAAAAAGACAAAGCAATGTTAGTGTTAATGTTAACATTAATGTTAGATGGTTTTGGCTTATAATGTTTCTGCTATTCTAATACATGTTGCTAAAATTTAAAAGAAGCATTTGTAATAATTGCATTATAGCAATCCAAACATACTGTGTTATCTTCCATAATATAAGAAGAAAGTGCTCTCTTAGAAAGCACAAAAGCAGTTACAGCCTTCCAAGCTGAAGATTTGCAAATTTCTATTGCACACGGTCCATTGAGCTTCTTATCTCTACCCATTATGAAAAGTCGTTATTAAGGTGGCACCCTTTAAATTTTAGATTATAAAAGAATAATTATAACAGTGGTTTCTAGCACTCAAACGAAGCGATTTATGTAAAAATTTTTCTTTTTTATTAGTGAAACGTTACTACCTATGTGTCCCTGGTGCTTGTAGACCGGCCGTATTTTACCGGTCATTCTAATGTAGCTTACAGCTATTATCATAATTTCTGGAACACCTGCTCCTTACCCGAAATCTTTTTGGTAGTTCGGTAAATTACCTAACTCTCCAGCAACTATATCGCTGTCTTCAGACCTTCAGACCGGAGACAATGATGTAATTTCCGGAGACGTTAGGTAGTTTACCGAACGACGGGTAAGGAGCAGGTGTTCCAGAAATGATAATAACTATAAGATCACATGACTTGGTAGTATAATTTAGGCCGAAAGTATAATGCCGGGCAAAATTAAGTAAGAGGAACGAAAATTTTCGAAAAGAAAATAAAAATACGATGAAGGACGTACAGCAGAGACCGTTAATGTTACACGTATATTAAAACTGGTGAGGGATTATATCCATCACAATTGAATTCAACATAAATAATTTAATTCGTGATTGATCACAGGTGAGAGGGATTCACTTTGGATCGGGCACTGTCTCTGCTGTATGAAGGACGAGGAAAAAATTTGAGTAAATATCCGATAATTTCCGAAGCTAAAAATTTGGCCTTAGCCAGCCAATGAAACCTTATGGCTTGTAACACTACTGTAAACCCAGACTCTCAAATCGCTATGTATTTAAAATATTAATCTAAATGATCGTTAGTACATATTTTTTATAAATTAATTTTACCTTCAAAATTTAGCATTAGCGTTAGATCTTTAATGTTAACGTTAGTGTAATTAGAAGTTGCTTGTTAACTACGCATTTACATATGTTCTTGTATTGCACAAAGTACCCGACATTTTTATCCCTATGGGCATACGCACTGCCACAGGGCAAAAAAAAAAGTTTGCAATGGGATCACAAGGAGACAAATTAATAGTAATACTTTTTTTACTAATTAAAAATCTCATTGGAAGATTACAAAAAATTCCATTGGAAACGAAAACTCTCAACACTGAATGTATTTTTATTTTTACTTTTATTTGTTTTTTTTTATTAAAAATACCTTCAAAAAACAACCAACATAACAATATCAAAGACTCAAATTATAATTACAAAGAATAATAATATAAAATATATTAGTAATAAACTTTTAAGGATGTAAAACATTAATTATCCTTGGATTGTTTAAGTTTCTTTGCATTTCTGTCAAATGCATTTTTCTGTTTTTTTATTGCTTTTTTTTGTTTAGCTCACATAGCATAAAAATAGCCGTCTTCACTTTCTTCATAACTGATGGCCTCAGAATTCCTTTTTGCGTTAGAGTACCTTTTTGCGTTAGAGTACCTTTTTGCATGAGACAATGCTGAGGAAGCCTGTTGATCTTCAATAAAAGTGTTGGCAGAGCTTGAAACACTTTTATTATCATTATTGAGCAACACACTTTGTTGTGATCTCATAGCATTCATTCTTAATGCATTAAATTCGTCATGTTGACGTTGTAATACTAACATACGTTCTTCCTGAGTCGATTTTCCTGAATCATGATCATCCAGTTTTGAAGACCGTTGAGAAGTTGTGTCAATCGAGGGTTGCGCAAAATAAAAAGGCATAACTCTAGGATCAACTTTTTCCACAGCTACAAATTCCGAACCGCCTACTTTCCCCAATGGTTCCGTATCACCATATATCATTTTTCCATCTTTTGATAATGAAATGTTACGCTTTAATTTTGATTTCGGAGTAACTGAAGGCGCAGAATTAGAAGATATTGAATTAGGGGGAGAAACTACAGGAGTTGGAACAGCTGGTAGCATTTGAGAAGAAATTGGGCTTTCATTTGAAGAATATTTATCGGATTCAATACACTGATCGGTGTTATTATTATATGAACTGAGACGAGTATATGAATCTCTATTAACTTCTAATCCCGAAGTATAAGGTTTCATAGGATGTGAATTTATAGAGTCTTGGATTGTACTATGTAAAGAATTTCCACCAGAGCCAGTTCCTACAAAACCTTTTCGAGGATAGATTATCAAAATAAGAACAAGCCATTCGATTATTGCCGCGAAATTTATGTGAGCAACCAATAAGTCACTAAATACAATATAATTAAATAAATAAAATATATAAAATTGGATATTATGTATGTATGTATATGTGCATATGCATGTACGCATGTATGCATGTATTTTAAATCTTTTAATAAATTAAAAAAAATCATACCTCACTACTCTACTATTAGCGATGGGTCTTGAATTTATAAGAACGTCGCTACCCAAAATAAGAAAGCTTGCGCCCGTAATAAACAAAGTGAGAGTTAACACTTTATTCATATCGATAAAATAATGTATTTTTGTTACTATATGGGGATCATTTTTATTATTATAAGATATTCGGATCAATTTTACGAATCGATAATGAGTTTGGATACCCAACACAGTAAGTAATATTAACTGAGCACCATAAACTAATTGTGGGATAGCCTGTATAAAAAGGTATTAAAAAAATTTCTTGCAGGTACATGTTAAATATATCTTAAAAAATAATATATGTAATACCTCTTTTAACGTATTACCGAACGCAGCTTGTATTACTGGGAACATGATCGCAGATACAACTCCCAAGAAAATGTATAGTTTAAATTCGAATCTTGACATAAAAGAAGCTTTTGCGATGGAATTAGAAAGATAATTCCAGAAACATTGCAATAGGAATAAAATTGCACTAATAAAAATATCTTTAGTAATATTGCAACAACACATATAACAGTAAGTATATGGAAACAAAAAAAAAACATACATTTGAAAACTAAATTCAACCATCAAGGCATAAGAAATTGGAGAAATCCATTGCTTATTTTCTTCAGGCCAAGCTTCATCTTCTCGAACCATTACATTTATGTTAAGAAGATATAATCTACTGGTATATATTATTTTTGTCTACCATATAAAATTTCATATAGGTTAAAAATATTGTATAATTGGATAGCTTACAGAAAAATAGAATAGTTACCAAGAAAATGTCATAAAATGATCCAAGCGGTAATGCCAACAATATGATTATTGTAATGTATGACTTTAATTCTAACGAACGTATTCGATCCCATTTCAATGCTGCAAATCGGTCACACTATTTGAATTTTAATTGATCATTGATTCTGTTAAGTTTCGTTATGGCAAGTTTACTTTTTACCAATAAGGCTTTATAAACTTTTATAAACCTACTTTCCAAACATGAAGAATGAACCATATCCATACATATATATCATGTACTGATCGTTCTATAATTTGGTAAAAGGGTTTGTTAGCATAAGCCAAAGTTCTCTTTTAAATTTGGTAAAGGTTTTTGTTAGCATAAGCCAAAGTAATCATTCATATTTGGTTTTCTCTTTTAAATTATGGTGTGTTCAGCAAATAAAGTTTTTCACGTAATTTATCTCTTTGTATTTTGCAGCAGCATATAAAGAACTATAAATATAAACTATATGTACGATTATTTCAAGATTAACAAAAAAATAATAATAATAATTACCAAGAAAAATATAATCACTCATTAAAGCTGAATTTGTATTTGCTGATGTCTTTTAATTATAATAAATGGTATCTAACCATAGGATGGTATCTAACCAAAAAAGAAAAATACCGCTTGGGTATTATATAAAAGTTGATTTTTCCGCTTGTATAATAAGGAGTGTAAAAGTAGGCACGTTAAGAGAGAAAACCAATAAGTGAACAGGCCAAGCAGTAAGAAAAAGGATCTTAAGGACCAGACAAGATATCATATATTGTGCAATGTTTATTATGTTATACGTAATTATGTTTTCGTATTAAGAACGTAATGTGCGACTTTAATTTGTTTACTTTATGGTTTATTATTATTATTGTTATTATTATTATTTAATTGAGTGCCTTTATGCGATTTGCCTAACGTTAGTGAAAGAAATTTTGAATTCATATATATGAATGCGGGTAATAAGACATAAAGGCATAAGACATAAAGGTTAAGTCCTAAAAATTTTGAAACACGGGCGCTTTTCCTTCCTTGAAAAATGGTATGTATGACGATCCTACCTTATTTAATCATGTTAAACTGGAAATAGAATAAATGTATTATGTACTCCATGTAACGATTATATTATTGTTTGCCATAATTGGTTAACTAATAAACCATGCACCCGAAGTCTCATTTATTCGGGGTAGGAACGTCCCGAGTGCCCCAATCTGTAGATCATTACACAATTAATCAGATTTTTTTTTTATACGTCTTACAATACTTTTTTCGAAAGCTCGGATGGGGGCAAGTGCACTAAGTAAACTTGTAACCTTCGTTTAAACATATAACATATTTGCTTAATCTAACTTAATTAAACAGCTACGTACCATATTTAATCTGCTTAACAAAGTTATGTTTGGAATTATTAAATACGTATAAAGATGGCAAGTTACTAAATTTAGTAAATTCTGTCTATTAAAGAATAAAAATTAAAGCAGGTTGAAAGAAATAATTTAACAAAAGTAACATAAGAAGAAGGTATTATTTTATGCAATTTGTGTTATATGACTTTAGTAAAAAATTTATTATAAAAGTTATTAAATAAATAAAAGTTTTTGTTAAAAAAACAAAAAATGTAAATAGAAATAAAGTTATAAAAACTGTAATAAAATATATAAAGGATGTATATAATTTATTTTATTAAAATTGTTAAAATTATTATTATTATTATTTTTTATATTAAACTAATTTGGATTTTTTTATTCAATATAATAGAATATAAAAGCTTATAACCAAATATCTTAGTAAAGCTATTTTATATTAAAGAATATATTTAGTTATATATACACTTTTGGTATTTACTAATTAAAGTAATTTGCTTATATATAGGTTTTATATTAGTTGTTATACCTATAATTTAATTACAAATATTGCTTATTTAAACTCTTTATATTGCAATTTTTACTGTATTACTAAAATATTTTTGATACTAATATTAGTTAAAAAGTTTTAAATATTTATTTATACTTTTAAAATGCTTATCATGTTTTATCTAATTTATTTTTAAAATACAGTCAAACTCTTCTAAATGCTACCTTCCTAAATGCACACCTATGAAAAACCTTTCCAAATGCATGTCTTCTTTCAGACCCAACTTATATTACATCTATAGATTTTTACCTTTCTAATGCAATATCTCTCTAAATGCATGTTTTGCTAAATTTTTATATATGGTTTGGTTGCATTGCATTTAGAGAGGTTTAACTGTATTATTACTAGAATCTTTTATACATTATTTTATAATTAACTTAGTTTTTAACTATTATAAAATTTATACAACTTTAGTATCTTTTTTTACAATCTTATTAGTATTTTGTTTACTCTTATAAGTTTTTTTATATTACTAATTTAGTTAGTTCTGTATAATGTAATTTTATAACTAATAGTTAAATTAATAAACTTTCTATTTAAAGCTTCTTATTTATATAGATTAACTGCTTTAGATTTTTTTTAAATTAAGATTTTTACAGATAAAATATTATTAAAATTTATATTACTTCTTTATTCAGAATTTCTAAACAAACTTCTTATTTATGTATATACTTTTTAAATTTATTTATATAATATTATATACTTTTAAAGTTAGTTTTAATATAATTAAAATTATAAAATTTACAAACTTCAGATTACAGATAAATTATTAAAATAAAACTATTTTTAAAAATTCTATTATTAATTTAAATATTAAATTTACTATTTAAAAGATAAAAAACCTAATCACTTTACTAGAATTGCTATATTCTGAATTATTAAAATTATAACAAAAATTTTTTATAAAAAAATATATATAAGATTTTATATATTTATATAATAAATTAAGAGAAATACTTTAAGCTAATAAAAATTATACTAATTTTTTGATTAACTTTATTTAGTAATAAAATCTTTTAAATATAATAAAAAAACTAAAATTATATAAAAAAATTTATTATTTATATTTATTATTTTTTTATATTATTAAATAATACAAAAATTATTTTTTTTAATTTTATCTAATATTTTATTTAAATTTTATAAATATAAGTAATAAAATCTTAAATATATTAACAAGTCTTAGTATAACTATAATATTAAAAGTAATAAATTAAAAAAGAAAATATTTTTAATAACTATAAAATAAATATATATATTTTTAAAATATTTAAATAATACTTTTATATTAAATATTAATAATTATTATTATTTAGAATATAAACTAATACAGACAAATTTGTTTGCAAATTTGTACTTTTTTAGTTCTAATTTATTTTCTTAAAATATTAATATATTTAAATAAAATTTGATATAATAATATTTAAAAATAAGTATTACTTTTTTGCAATATTTATTTTTAGAAGTAATATATTTGTAGCCATGGCTACTGTAGCTACATTTCATAAAAGCCAACTAATTTTAAAGATCAGGTGTAATGTAACACAATCAGAAAAATTCAAAACAAATGTTTACTTTTATTAAAAATTATCAAAAATTGTCTATAACTCAAAATTAAGTATATGAACCTACTCATTAGGTTCTAACAAAAAAAGTCCTTGCAAAATTTTATTATAAAATATTTATTTTTATTCACATTTTATCCTTACCTCAATCTAACCCTAATGAACAAATAATATGGTTATTTTTAGTTATGGCTACAGTAGTCTATAGCTACAAATATATTAATTCTTATTTTTAAATTATAAGAAAAAAATTTATATTACTTATAGATTAAAAATATATAATTTTAAAAAAATTTTAATAAAAAATATTTTTAGTTTATCTATAATAAACTTTTTAAATATTAATTATAAACCTATAGTTTTTAATATAACTTTTTAGTTTATATCAAAAATTACAATTTTAATTATTACAAGTTTAGTAATTTATATATAAAAATTAATACTTACAATAAGAGCAAATTTTTTTTTTTTTTTTTGGTATTAAGGTGAGGTTTTGCCTTTATCTTTATTAATAATTTGTTATAGG